AATTAAAGGAAGTAAAATTGGATAATTGGTTGCACCGGTGGCTCAACAGGTGATTCAGGTGAATTAAAAAATACACCTGAGGAGACAGGGGTCTAAATTTGAACAGTTTTCTGTAGCAAGAATTAGAGAGTTCCTAGTAAATTTTAGCCGTTGCTAGATGGCGCGGTAGAATTTACTGACTGTTCCATCATAAATATGATTTGCAATGATTATTATACATAAAGGCCTTAAAGGCTGAAACGCAAGGACATTTCTTGTAGATGATTGCATTTGTTGTTTCAGTTATGTTTTGTATTTCTGTGTGTAAGCTTTTATTTAGGGCGACATCTTATGGTAAGTTCCTAAACTATAATTTACTAGTGTTATCTAGCGACTTTCGTCATTCTTAGTATTGACGTTGGCAAAACCGATGTGGAATGTCAGTTTAAATTGAATTTTGGGTAGCTACAAGAAAAAACAGCTACTTATCCAATAGCCCAATTTTTTAAGTATTAATACTGTCGATTGTACCTGTACAACTTCAAATTCTATTAGGGGTGAGACAATTTTTTATCTGTAGCTGCGAATATACGTTTTAATTGGACATCTTCAGGAAAAAATGAACAAGGTTGGAAATGGTCGAGCCAAATACTGTATTCAGTCTGAACAACATCCTCAACAGACTACTTGGGCACTCTGCTCATTTATGGAGCGTCAGAACTTCGTGGATGTAGCCATTTGCTGCGGAAATAACGTTTTACGCGCTCATAAAGTGGTTCTCGCTGCCCACAGTCCCTTGTTTAAGGTGAGTACATATTTCCCACAAATACACATATGATCATAACTGATGTATTTTTATAGGAAGAACTGGAGAAAAATTCATCTGTCGAGCAAGTGGTGATCACAGGATGTGATTCTTCTGTGGTGAGATCCTTAGTGGAGTTCATGTACTGTGGGCAAACTATTATATCAGAAGAACATGTCAAATATTTAGTTGCAGCAGCCAGGACATTACGAATGAAAACGTTAGAAAATCTGACATTTGACTGCCCCTTACCTGGTAATTCAATCCATTAAAATATTCCAATTTTATTATGTCTTATACAGGGTACATGCATAGCTTATTTCTCGGATGCAATTAGAATAAGCAAAAAGTGTCACAAGTCTTATGAAAAATTACATACAGGGATCTTCTACGAAAATACTGACTCCCAAGGGACGACACTGTAGACTGTTTTTTTTTTATTTCGTGTCTCATTTATATCGCAAGGGAAAAACTACCGCAATATTGCTTATTTTTTAAAACTATGGTAATGACTCAAGAGCGTTGTTTTTTAAAAATGTATCCTCGATGGACGTTGATAAGATGAGTAGTTGCTTGCAGCTATTTCTAAAAAATTGGAGACATTCTGAGGAAGCGGCGTACTAATCAAAAACCTAAAATATAGTCAACGCCAAACAAAATGGCGTGCACGTCATCACGATAAAAATTCCCCGACCTAATGCCTAGGTTTCTATCACAAACAATTGCTCTATTGCAGTTTCATATTAATGTGATATATAAATTGTAAAATGGTCATTACTCTCTTATTATGGTTAATAGTCATATAAACATTGTTATTAAAATATCACATAAGTTGCTTTCTGATAAATTTAGACGCATTATGCGAAATAAAATGTTTTGCAAACGCTCCAATCACTTATCGACATGTAAACGCACTAAACCGATTTCGCAGCGTTGACACATTGTCACCTTGAAACTTATTTAAACTGGGAACTGACATTTGTATTAATTTTGACACTGAATCAATTTGTGGCATTTCAAATCTTTATAAATCCTTTGGCCCCGCATACTGTAAATCAACAACTGTTTGTTTCAAAACAAAATTATTCATTTTACGAGTAGATAAAGGCAATTTTGGTATATAAAGATGCCCAAACAGTTAAATAGTCGGTGTAAGGAACTCGTGGCCTCGTTAATGCACTACTTTGAGCAAGAAAGGGACAACAACGGGCCTTTGTTGCCTTTAAATGCTGTTCAAGAGGTAGGTTACTAATAATTATATGTAATGTATATTAATAATAGTGAAATTTTATTTCATTTTTTGTAGCGTGTTGCTGCTGCTTTAAAAATTAGTTTAAGGACAGTTAGTCGTATTTCCGAGGGTGTGAAAAGTGATGCAAATTTAGAATCGCCCAAGAAAAAGCGGAGTTATATTAAACGTGTAACCAACACAGCGACATTGGATACAAGTGCCATTCGAGAAGTGATCTATAATATGTATCACAAAAGTAAGATCTTATTATAATAACTTATCAGAAATTTGCATTAATTCGTTAACTAAATTATAATGTCATATTACACATGGTTTCAGAAGAACAAGTTACGATACAAACTTTATGGTCTCGATTAAGAGATAGGGCATTATTTGATGGTAGTGTCACGTCTTTAAGGCGGTTGCTTAGAGATCTTGGATTTAAGTGGCTTAAGGACAATCCGCGACGAGGGCTCATGGAACTACCAAGTATAGCTTTGAAAAGGGTGGAATTCTAAGGCAATACAATCAAGCCAAGGTTGAGGCCTTATACCAGTTTGTCTTCCTCGATGAAACTTGGATATTTCAAAATGGGACCATAGGTCGCTCTTGGCAAAATGGAAACCAAAAAGCGTGAAAGCTATTAAAACAGATGGTAAAAGGTATGTACTTTTACACAATTTGCACTATAAAATTTAAAACTAATATATTTTAGATACATTATATTACATGCTGGAAATGAAAATGGGTTTATTGAGGGTAGTGAAGCGATATTTTCTTCGAAAACAAAATTGAGCGATTACCATGGACAGATGAACCAGGACAATTTTTTGAAATGGTTTCAACATCAGTTATTAGAAAAATTGGAGAGTCCATCTATGATTATACTGGATAACGCCCCTTATCACAGCATGATATTGAACAAAGTGCCCAACAATGCATGGACAAAAAAAATATCCAAGACTGGTTGACAAATCAAAACATACCATTTTTAAACACAATGTTTAAAACAGAGCTATTGAGTATTGTTGCTCGGTACATAATGCTTCTTAATTATATATATTTTGGTCGACAGTTTATATTTCCTTTGTTTATTCCTATTCTTAAAATAACTGCTTTTTTAGAAACAAACCACCTAAAATATACGTGATTGATGAATTGGCGGAACAACATGGGCACAAAGTTCTTCGTCTGCCTCCTTACCATTGTATATTTAACCCTATTGAGTTAATTTGGGGCATAGCAAAAGGTTACTATAACAGACATATTGGTAGAGATGGTAACAGTGAAAAAGACTGTTTGGATATGTGGAACGAGGCTCTACAAACGGTTACCCCAGACATGTGGAAAAATAGTGTTCGACATACTGAGCAAGAAATTTTTAAATGGTATGAAAGAGAACGAATTTTTGATCGACCAGACATCGAACCTTTAATAATCAACTTTGAGAGTGATGAAGATTCAGTGATTCAGATTCAGACAGCACTGAAGAAAGAAACTCCGACTAACTTTATTGTACAGAAAAAGCTTACACCAGTAGCTTACCTAATTTTAGAATGCATTTTTCTGTATGAATTCTGTAAAATAAATACCATGCATAAAATTTGGAGGACCCCATTTGGATTTTTATTCAGTACCTTTAAGCTATCAATTAAATATGGTAGTTTCATAGTGTCATCTGATCAATAATGTCATACTTAATGATTATGCAAGTACAGATCTATAATTTTATTATACTATTTTTGTTCTCATTTGAGGTTAATATTGCTTATAAACCTAGATATGTAAATAATAAATTTATTATTTTACAAAAAGTTTGGCAACAATGTAAATTTTTCAACACACCTACCTTGATGACGTGCACGCCACTTTGTTTGGCGTTGACTATAAATGAATATCGGCCACATCAAAGGATTTTTTGACTGCAACACAAAACTTTTTCAAAAAATATAGCAGCGTTATCTACTATGACCATATCATATTGCTCCTCAAATTTCATTCAAATTGATTTAGGAGGCCGCAACGAATTCGAATACATTAGAAGGAGCCAAGCCTATATGTTTACGCCAAAATTAGGTACGTAGTTGTCGTGCATACTTTTGACCCATTTGACTACCAATGCCTAACAAGTGACCGCATTGGGTATGACTATACTTTAGCGCATATCGCAAATACTTCATTTCCTACTTTAAAATGGAAGATTAGGATGTAACCTTTACGAAAATATCATTTTTTCTTTAAGGAACCTTCTGCTTACTATTTCATAGAACTTCGAAGTTGCATTTTTGGTGGTAATACTCTAGAATAGAATATTGTTTTATATGCTGTCTTTTTTTGCTTTTTGTACAAAAGGATGCTCTAAATTATAAGAATATGACATACACTGTATAGTACTAAGGAAAATAGATGCGAAATTGTAAAAAATCGTTGTTTTTTGCAAAAAAGGTTCAAAACCAGACATGTTATTACACATTAGCTTATTAGCTTAAACAACAGATCAAAATACATAAGGTAAGTCGAGGAAAGATGGCCATACTTTTTATTATTGGTTATATTGTTTGATAGATGGAAAGTACAAACTTGAAATTTGGTATAGAGTAACTCCTTTATGTGTAGGTTGATTACCTTTAAAATTCAATGCGAGCAGCAAAATAGTTTTGTCAATAATTATCATTTCATAAAAAGTGGCATTTGGCCATCTCTTATAGAGTCTGTAGGAGAGATGGCCATACCTTTGAGGTGAGATGGCCAGGTAGATTTTATTTATTTTTTCGCAGGAAAATAAAATACTTAGGTCATATTAGACGCACACAGCACCCTATTTTTACATAAATGATAAAAAAATAAAACGGGAACCCACCCAAAGTGCCGCATACATGTTTTTTTACAAACTAAGAGCAGTTTACTTTGCAATATTAGAAGAACACAAATCACAATGAAATTTGCAGGGGTACTTTGCCCGCTGCATAATTTGTGAACCCATTTTCCACAGTAAATGTACCTATACCAAGTTTCACCGCTATTCCCAAATTCCTGGCAGACTAAGCAGATGTCCACAACGTCTATGTCGTTGTCATTCAGGTTGTTTTTTTCTATTTTTTTTGTTTTCTTTTCTCAAAAGATTAGCGAGGGGTACTTCGTCAGATTCTGTAAAACAGCTGTTAATCTTTCCTTGGTGCTACTGACTTTGGGTTTATCATCAGTTTTTCTTTTCTTGGTTTCTTTTTGTTCTTCTCCCGGCAGGACTCAATGTTTGATGTACAAGTCAACTCTGAAGCAACTGATCTGTACCGTCTTTTTGCAGCTTCAACCCTTAATCTAGGCACTGGCGATATATCTGCCAGCATTTTACTGATAGGGGTGGTTACTTCTGATCCCAGATTTTGACAAGTCCCTTCTGGTTGAATGTTATTCTCGGCAAGGTTTTTAATAGCGGATGAGCTATTATCGTTGTCTTCATTAATCAAAGCTGGCTCATCAACTTGGTCATCACCAATATTTTCTAAGATTCTATCTTGAGCATCGGATAAGTTTTGGATTATCTGGATTATATGTGAAGATAACGGTACTTCTGAAACCAATAACAGCATTATTAATAGTTGCAGATTTTTCCCAGGTATCAGATAATAATTCTCCAAACTGGTATCGTGTTATACGCCTGCCAGGATGACGCTTATTCAACCAAAGTCTGCAGTTTGAATAAAATGCATTTTTAACAGACTTGAAAACAGCCCTATCTAATGGCTGTAAGAAATGGGTGGAATGACTAGGAAAACATAGCAAACTTATGCCATTTTCTTCCGCATATGTACTCCAGAATTTGAACAGAGGTAGAATGAGACGTATACCCATCTAGTAACAGGTGTATTTTCTTCTGGTCTTCTGGGAGTGAAGTGTTCCTTCAACCAAGACAAAAACGTTTGTGAATTCATGTATGCTGACAAAAAAGCTAACTCCCAGGGGGTAGGTTGTCTTCAAATTCTTTTTTGATATTCTTACCCTTCATAATGACTGCTGGGGGCAAGAATGTGCGTTTCGCATTGCAGCAGGCTACTAAGGCAATGGTTCCTCCCTTCTCAGAAAAGGTGATGGCGGAAACACTTTTTGAACCTTTCTCAGCTAAAACTTTATCGGGGCGATTGTTCAGCTGTAGACCTGATTCATACATATTAAATAGACGTGTCCAGCCGTTTCGGTGTTAGGGTTAAATTTGTGCCTAAATCCCAATTGACTGGTGAATTCGTAAGCAAGCCTGCGCACATCTTGTCTGGTTAAGGCAAATCCAATTTTCTGCATATTTTGATATGTCCAACCAACCTCATCTCGTTGGAAGTACCCAACAAAGAGTCAGGGCCCAGCTTCCCTAGCTTCCCTTTTTTATCGTTATTATGTTTAAGCCTTCTTCACAATGTCTTGCGAGGAATTTGAAATGATAAAGAAGCTCTTATAACGGACATTAAACCATCGTTAACTGCTGCCATAGCATTTTTAAGGTTGTCCTCTGTCCAACTTCCTCGATTATTGAAATTTTTTCGCACGTACACGTTTGGCATCTAAAAAAATATATCAAAAGTGGGTAACTCCGAATATATTCCCGACAAGACGAAAACAATTGATGGGTTTAAAAAAAAGAAAAAAATAAGTAAAACATAGTAGAGATGGCCATATGGCCATCTTTCCTTTAAAAAGATAGGGCCATCTCTCCTTATTGTATAGGATAGATGGCCACCGTGTTTACTAAAATCCATGCGACCGGTGGATAAAAATGTGAGGTACATGCAGCTGACTACAGTAATGCAATGTACAATGTGCGCCACCTATCAGAAAGCTAGCGAAATAGAGAGACTGGGCCGTCTATCCTATATGGCGATCTTTCCTCGACTTACCCTACGTGATGGTATTCACTTGGTAAACTGTGTAGAGGTGTTTTGTAAGTTTTCAATGTCTTCTTGAAATTCCTTAATCATTTTTTTCGTGTATTTTCAATGAGATTGAAGTTTTTGCTTTTATAAGAAATATTTGAAAGTACAAACATTTCTCAATGGCCATTTTATAACGCTCATTTCTTGACAGATACGATAAATGATGTCAATTATTGCCAAGTTGTCCCTTTTTTGGGAGAAATACTTAATTAGAAATGAGGTTATTAGCAAAATAAAAGTCTTAATTTATTGTAAATGGCTTGTTTTATGAAGAGTTGTCCCAATATTTACCGAAAACTAGATGAAATTTTGAACAGTATCTGTCTAAACAGTGGAAAATGCACCAGCGCCTCGCGTGACATAAAAAATACAAAAGGCACCAGCGGTCATTGCATATAAAAATACCCAACGTCGATTCGTCGATATGGACCACCTCGCCAGGTCCACCCAACATATCATCGTCAAACATAATAGTTAAATAAACAACAAGGATCATTTCATCAAATCATCAGAAAACTTGCAATGTTCTTTGTTATGTTTTCATTATATGTGATTTGCAGCAGCTACTTTTTTAGTTATTTCTCATATATATATATATATATATATATATATATATATCAATTTAATTAGGTACATTTTGTAACATCAGCTTCACTTTAAATAATTCTTCAAGGACATACATACAAAAAGTGAATAGATTATAATTATAATATAGGAAAACAATAACTGAAGTACTTTTGTGAAGGGCATAAGGGATTCTTCAGAAAAATCTTTAGCTAACGCTATCGTAGGGCACAAGGTGGATTTAGTACAGTAAAACCTGCCGGCCACACCTCCAAATAGCATTTTCATGACAATCCTGTGCCGATTGCACATTTTTGCGTTAGTATATAAGAATTTGATAAACCAAATTAAGGTATATGTATTACTATCAATGATTTGGCAACATCGCAACTAGATGGAGAGAATATGACAGTGACGGTGGTGTAGTGATGGGAATAATTATCTGAAATAAAAGAAATGACTACTTAACAATTAACTACTTTCATCATTAAAATAATGCAAAATTGCATTATTGCGATGAACAGAATATAATTTTGAACAATCTTTTGTATAAACAAGAAGAAAGCAGCTTATAAAGGAGTATTCTGTACCACAGTATTAGCACCCAAAATCCAACTTTGAAGCTGCAAATAGCAAGCACAGGGTTCCTCAAAGAAAAAATGATATTTTCGTGCAAATTACATCCTAATCTAAAAAAAATAAGAAATGAAATATTTGCGATATGCGCTGAAGTATAGTTCAGCCCCGCATTGTACTAACACAATTATAATACTTACCGGTGGAAATATCTACCTTCAGTAGGCTGGTGTTGCTCTTTGCAAATTATCTAAGAATAAGTACCGTGTCTTGAAATCGTCTAACACCTCAATTATCTGCAAACACTCGCACTTTTAAAAAGTAACAGCAAAATATGAGTTTAATGACAGAGCTGTAAAAAATTTACTTACGTCAAGTGCACATGTAATATGTACTTCGATTCTTACTACAGACTATGAAAATTAGGAGACAAAAAATCGTTGACTGGCTGCTTCGACCTAGTGGCTGTGGAGAGATAGACCAAAATGAGCGATATAGGTTTTCGTTCACATATTACATTATAAATTGGTAATTATGAAAATTTTTGAATTTGAGGTTCTGGTAAAGGAACATAAAACTACTACTAAGCACTATATCAACCGCGGATCCAGGGAGGGAGCATAACTTCCCCTAGGGCGAATCTGACTTTCATATTTATAACTCTCAAATCTGATCAGTAAATTTAATATACAAATATGTAATGAATACAAATCACCAGATTTGGCGAAAAGTCACCACACCTGGCAACCCTGATCAATTTGTAAGCACATCGATGATTGCCTGGAAATAAGTGTTGCGTAAGCCTGGTTGCCTATACGTTCTGCTTGACGCAAATATAAATAAAATAGTGTTTCTGCATGGTTCGGCTTGGTAGTACTGCATGTGCGTTAGTGCATCATAGCCTTATGTATTCTGTAAATAAGGTAATAAATCGAAAATTTAGACATTCGGACAGGAATATAAGAAAAACCTTTTCGCGCGCACCTTTGACGCTGTGAGCAAACTTGAAAAAAACTCATTTTGATGGATAAATCGGAGGAAAGCTATATCATCTGATTGAAAGGATATGATAAGAAGTAAGCATCAGAGTTATCTAAGCGTAAGAGAGATCAAATCTCGCCCTCTTCATCTATCAGCTCATAAGCATATGCACTACTTCCTACTTTTAACCGTTTTTATTTGTTACTCAGTATGATGATATTGTCTTAGTTTTATCATTTACATGGTGTTTCCCAAATATGGCGCAAGCATTGAATGTGTGACTTTTGGGACTATTCTGAAACTATTGTATTACCTCTCGATTTGCAAAACACCTCTTGATGAAAAATAGCGCCTCAACGGAAACGTTAGTTGGAAATATGTTTTTCTTAAATAATTGTCATATATCGCCGCTTAAGTTTTAACATCGCGAAACTAAAAAAATGGCGATATCATGCGTCATTCGATAGGAAATTTTGCTCTTTTAAAAACTTGTCAGTTTTGAGTTACGCTGTGTTAGAACGTAAGTGACGATCCAACTAAAACTATTAACTCATTTAGTTCGCCAGAGGCGGACCAGCCATAGACGCAATATATTTTTGTACACCTTTGTATAATAATGTCTAGAAAATAGTGTTATTGGAAATTATAACGTACTGTTCCATCTACATCATTGTAATACTACCTGCAGTTGTTTCAAGAATTGTTTGATTTTGATAACATCAACCGTTTAAAAAAAAATATATAGTCGTGGTTTTTCAGGTCGCTGATAACTGATCTGTAATGAGAATTATCAAATTTTCAATACCAGTGAACCAGTAACGGTTCCATAATTTGGAAAACTGTATCAAAATAATAAGGCTATTTTACTTCAAAACCCCAGAATGGCTCAGTGAATAAGTCACACCCCTTCCCCTCCGGATACAAAAATTCTCCTGAACCCTGGTACTATATAAACCAAAATTCGCGCTTAATGATGACTTCGCTTTTACTGTTTTATCAGCTATATTGATACGTTGTTTAATTATTTCGCGGCTGGGAATTTTCTAAATTAAAAAGCGACGTTGTATTCCCAGCTACAAAAAGTCATTCTTTCTTATACATCGTTTATCGTCTTTCAAATGTCGCCTTTTACGTTTATTTTTTCGTTTTCAGACGACATGATAGTGATTCCCAAGCCCCAGTTTCTCTCTAAAAAGCTCAAATACCCTACTCACCCGTTCAACCCAGCGCCAGTCTCGCCCAGCAATCTGCACAAACCCAAGAAAGCCAAGAGACAGTTCCGTATAGAAGCTGAACACCAGGCATGTATTAAGGAAGCCCAGGCTAGTAGATTGGCTATTGCTAACTTGAAAAAAGAGATCGCATCTGCTCCACAGGCTAATACTTTCATCATTGAAGAAACTTGCACGGAGACCACAGTTGAGAATTTTATCCCGCATTCTACAGTAGGATTTGGTGCTGGTCAAGTGTTTTTGCCCACTGACCCAAAAGTGACAGACAATGTCATTCAGTTGTCCATACCCAATAGCTCCGAAGAACTTACTGCTGATAAGATAAAGGATCTATTGGGAAACGAAGCCAACTCTAATGTGGAGATAATGTTCAAGACCAGTGATGGAAACTTCGTCACTGTTACTGACGAAGTGCTCCAGAACCTTCAGAAGGATGGTCTGCAATATCAAGTGATAGATGAAGAAGGAAAATTAGGCGAGGTTCAGGAATTGCACCTTACTAAGGATAAGATCAATACGGCGGAAGAAAATACACCGCTTATTCCGGAAACGTTTGATCTATTCGGCAATGCTGAAACAGACTCGGCAGATTTCACCATTGAACCATGTAAACTAGTGGATAACGCTGGTGCTTTGATCGATCCAAAAAACGTAGGGATACTTTCACTGGAATCTAAAGAGTTGAAAAGTCCTTTCAAAATTTCATCCATAGTAAATGAGAGCGATTCAATCGAAAACTTGCCTTTGAATGCTTACGCTGAGAAGGAGCCAGATGATTGCAAGGTTGAAATCCAGATGATGCATGATAAAGGAAACATTCCTTCTACCGCGAGTACCGATCAGAAAGAAGATAGCAGTTTGAAGTTTTCTCCTGATATTTTCTTTGCTGATGTGGTGGGAGAGTGAGAAGATACTGGTAACAAGAGGATTTGTTTGTTAGAGGATACCTCGAAGCAGTGACATATTGTTTGGTTTTTAGTTTTTCACAGAGATTCATTGTATTCAGAATATTCATTTCAATAAAACAATTTCATAATTACCGTTATTGTTTTTTGAACTCCATTGCCTGACCCCTTTCAAGAACAATGACAATTAATTCAGGAGTTATCTTAATAGTTTCCTTGCGAATGAGACCAGTCAAATCATTGTGGAAATTACATACGCAAATTTGGTGAATTTCAAAAATGAGAGAGATAAGAAAAGAAAATTCCTGGTTGGTGAAGTAACAGGTGAGAAAATATGCTACAGACAGGAATATTTATGAAAGTGAAAGGGTTATTACATTATTTTTTACTTTCAGTCCAGAAATTTATTTTGCGATGTCAATAGAAAATACAAATCAGCGTTTAGATGTGAGACAGTGCGAAAATGTTTGAAGTGTGATGCTTCATTCCTAATTTTACTGTGATGTGGCTTAATTGTACACCACGCGGGCGCGGTGGCGATTTCCCATAATCAAATTTTTAGAAAACACAAAAAAAAAACAGGAAGTATCGTAATTTATAACTTTGACAAACTGTAGGAGATGATTTTTTGAGTAATTTTAAGATGAAAAGTTTACATAAACATAGGTCCAGAAATGCTTTATTTTGAAGATACAAGGTGTCAACCTTTTTTAATAAAACTTGGTTTCTCCTAAATATCTTGGTATCTTTTAGTCGATTTTGTTCAAATTTAGCAGTGGTATTAAGGACAGTAAGGGACTAATTTAGCCCCAATTAGTTTGAAATTATCTAGTCCAGTGGGGTCCCAAAAAACACGATAACCAATATCTTAGACAAAAAATTTGTGCGCCACTTTTTTCAATTTTTCAATTTTTTTCGAATTAAGCAGATAAAAATACAGCAAGCAAATAAAAAGGCCTTTATTGCATGTCCTTGCAACAATATCATAATAAAACATTGAAAACATCAAACTAACATTAGACTAAAGTCATCTCTTGAATTTTAATAATTTATAACAGCAGTAATTTGAAAGTTTCAACAAATAAGAGCGCCATGAAAGGGAAAACAGATGCTACTCAAACAAATCTGTCTTTGACATAACTTACTGAAAGCGGTGCTTATTATTTATATTATTTGAAGTGTTTTTAAGAGTTACTCTTACCAATATCTTTGACAAAAAAATTGGGCGCCACTGACCTTTTTCAATTTTCCAATGTTTTTCGCAGGAGCTAAAAATACAGCTTTTTTGTCTCCTGAGAGACTGTGCAACGCCACTGGCAAAATATTGCAACAATAAATAACGTTATGTAAATACTGTTTATTTGTTTTATCGAAAGCACGTATGATCTGAGCAAAAAAATTCAAAAGACGACTTTCGTGTAACTTAATTATCAAAAACATTCAATAAAGTGCTTTTTATTTTTTATCTCGCAAACGAAACTAGATAGGAAAGAAACTGAGGATATAAAAAAGTTGTATTTTTAACTGCTAAATTCGAGAAAAAATAGAAAAATTGGAAAGTCATTGGCGCTCAAATTTTTTGTCAAAGATATAGGTTATGGTGTTTTCCGGGACGACACTGGATTTGATGATTTCAATCTAATAGGAGCCAAATTAGCCCCTTACTGCCCTTAATACTACTGCAGAATTTGAACAAAATCGACTAAATGTTTATTAAGATATTTAGGAAATAACAGATTCTTAAAAAAAGTTTGACACCCTGTACCTGGAAAGCGAAGCATTTCTGGATCTATGTTTATACGAACTTTTCATCTCCTATGCGTCTACGTACTTTATTACTTCCTGTATATCGTCAAGGTCATTGTCGATTTGTACATTGAAAAAGGCCATCGAGGTGACCTACACGTCAGTAAAGGATCATTTCTACATTTGTGGTGTTATTTATTGGCCAGAAAAAGCACAGGATAAGTTTCAAATGTTACATTTTCAATACCCACATTTCGCTTCATGAATGGTTTCCTCATTGGTCTACTTGATCTGGAACTAATAGTGAAACGCCTCTGACTTTCAAGAATATCTGTCGATACCTCGTTTGTACTTTGAAGACCGCCGTCTTTCAGACTTCTAGACCGATAGTCGCCAGAGGTTGGATTTCTCTTTTATTTTTGACGCATAATAATTAATGATGTAGAAAATTGCACGGTTCATTTTGAACAGCGATGTATAGCGAACGAACAGAATCTGCATATCAGAATATCCTGGTGTAACAGGTTTGTTTTGTCATTCATAGCGCTTTCGATTAAGGTGATAAACCATTGGATTCAATCAGCGCTAACACGCTCCGGATATGATGAGATGGCATTTTACTTTGGGAACGAAATACGACCAAATTCACGAATCCAATGGGAAATGTTATTTTACAACCGCCAATGTTGTTAGGTTATTGTGCGTTAGGAAAATATTCCAACGCCATTTCATATTGCATTCGACAACACCAGAGCGACGAATATGTCAAGCTTCACTAGAATACTTTGTCGTGGATCTATCCCTGGGAACACCACGGAACAACCCTCTTGATCAACCTTGCTATTAATAGGCTGGGCTGTACGACACGGCTATTATGAAAGAAACCTATAAAACGTCAAAAAAAAACCTAAAAAACGTAAAAAAAAGCTATAAAATGTCATCTTACAGACTAGGTAGTTTTTAGGGTGTAAACAGTCATTCGAGGTTTGCTCATTAGGATCGTTGTGAGCATTTATATCTGGAGGAATTACTCGCATTGCTGATAGCATATGTTTTGTAAAGCCGAGTAGTCTGTCTGTTTTCACCTCTGAGAAGGAAGTTGGTTGAATAGCAAGATCGCATGTGGATGACTATGTGTATGGCATGTGTATAAAACCATTAATATTTGCTGTGTGAGAAATCATTACTGAATATGCTGTCAATGAAGTGTATCTATTATCTGCGCCCGTCGAGTTATTCATATGTTGTGCTTCCTAAAGGCAGGTTTTGTTCAAAGTTATAAGTTACGATTTTTTACGTTTTTTTTTTGTGTTTTCAGAAACTTTAAGGAGAATTACGGGAATTCACCACAGTGCCCGCGTTGTGTGTAATTACTGTTAGCATGAATATGTTTTGTACAGTACACAGTGAATATAATTATTTCTTATCCCATTGATTTTTGAAATTCAGCAAATTTGCATATGTAATTTCCAGAATTGATAAGAAAAAGTGGATCCGGGATGTACATGGACAAGGAAGATTATTGTAACTGTTTGGGTGAACTGAGATATGGGCATTGGAAGATTTTCTGATAAATTTCGTTGTTAGAAAAATGACCATATCAAAAATATGTTGCACGTTGCAGTAATCATTGTATATAGAAGGTTATAAATGGTATTACAATACACCCTAGCAACATCCAAAACACATAAAACATCATATTAGAAGTTTTTCGCAATTACTTTCTCGTATCGACTGCCTGTTGCAGAGTAGGTTCGACTCTTTTTCGGAAGCAGGTTTCTTGGCATATTTACTAACACATTACCGAACGAATATCATGGCAACATCTTGACTGATAAGTTGCTTAAGAAGAAGGTCCAAAATAGAGAATCTACCTTCGATTCAGTCATATTCATTTAACGTATATATATATATACGAGTATATACAGGGTGACTTTGAAGTTGAGTCATTAATTTTCAGATAATGATTGTAGAAGGAAGATAAACCAAAATATGTGTGTAAAAATAAAAAAAAAATTAAAAAAAATTTTTACCTTGTTTTATAAAGTATCCTCCCGACAAGTATTTCAGTGCGGACCTGTATTTGATCGTGAGGTCCCCTGTGAAGTCTTAAGTCACCTGATTCACGAGCCCGTTGTACTACATTAACAAAGGCACGAGGGGTTGGTTGCACTCGATTGGGAAACCGATCCGCATAAACATGTGCCATTTTTTATTTCGTTTGAGCCACGCAACAGACACTATTCACACGCGACTGACACTGATTGTATGTATAACTGAACTGAATGAAATAATTGTAAAAAACTCGTTCCAAATTCTTTCGCTTTTTTGTTTCCGATGCGATGAACCGATAAGGTGGATTATATCCGTTGTTGCCAAACACAAGCACATGACATTATTATTGAGACAGGGCGGTACTCAAACTTCCAAAGGGCTATAACTTTGTTACTTTAATTTTACCAGAAAAATGGTAAAGGAAAAAAACATTTCTTTTGATCAGATCTACTCACTGTTAAAATAAATGACTCAACTTCGAAGTCACCCTGTATACAGGGTGGCGCATCGAAAACGAAACAGAGGCATTTACTGGCAGCTCAGTTTTTTTCTGGAAAAACGCTCAGACCCGTCGATTTTGTTTTCGGGGGGACACAAGTTTGGCAAAAATCACGTTAACACGTGCAGCCCCCTGGGTGGGGGTGACACCAACCCTAAAATCTTAAATGGAAAGGGGGGTCGAGTGATACCTTATTTTAAAGGTCTTTCAATTACCTTTATAATGATGTAAAATACATGAGCTTCAGTTCAGTAGTTTTGAAGATTTATTGATTTAAAGCTTAAAGTAGACTTTAATAGGTACATCAGGTTAGTTTGTACTACTTTCAGAAGAAATTTGACTAAAAGAATTTACTTAATAAGTAAATGCTTTTCTTCTCTACGCCCCCCGTTTGTTTATCATTTTGTTGTTGAAAATAGCTATTGGAGCGTTTTTTTCGTGGCAAAAAAGTTAGTTCTTGAAGAAAGATAAGGAAATATCTCGTAATTATTTTAAATAAGAATTTAGTACATAGTTTGCGATTGATTTGACCAAACTTTGTTGCTAAAATAAGTTGTAACTCTTTATTACATAAATTAACCATGGTATATTCCACAGCAGAAAGAATTGAAATTATCGAAATATTTTTCTGAAATAATCAGTGCGCTAATAGAACAGCAGAAATATTTAATGAGCGACATGAGAACAGTAACGTGCATCGAAAATATGTTCTAGAACTTGTCGCTAAATTTCGGGAAACTGGGTCAGTCGCCAATAAAAAACGCAACATTGAAAATCCCATAAGGCACGAAGCAATAAAAGTGGAGGTTTTAGGGCAAGTTTATGTAGATCCTA